GATTTCGGTTTTGGCTTGGCCGCGGCGGTCTTAGCAGCCTTTGATTTGTTTTTCTTCGGCTTCACAGCGGCCGGCTTCTTTGCCGGAGCAGAAGCAGGTTTGACGGGAGCGGAGCGAGTAGGAGCAAGCTTGAATGAGTTCTTGACCTTCACGAGTTTACCAGAAGCAACAGATTTCTTCAAATGAAACAGCAAAAGCTTCCTGAAATTAGACGGCAACTGCTTGTGCTTCTCCTCGTTGAATTTCGTGATCGCGTACTGGCTCGACCCTGTCCTCTCCTTCAACGCCACAATTGCATCTGTAATCATCTGAAAACGCCAAAAGAAATCGGATACAAAAACGCAAGAGTTAGATTCAACGACACGAAACCGCGGGGCGACAGTGAATCTGAAGCGATAAACCTAGGGTTTCCAAATGACGGTACCTGGAGAAAAGGAGGATGCGAGGGAGATGATCTGGCCTTTTTCTGCGCAGCTGCTTTCGCTACCTTCGCCTCCCTTGCAGCCTTCGTCTTCTTCTGCTCCACGGCGGTAACTCCGGCAGCCGGAAGCTGAGAATTCACCGCGGAATCAGTAACAGTCGCCATGAGTTTAAACTGATTCGAGAATCGAAATCGAAAATGCGAAGCGAATATCAACAATCCTGCCTTGAGAGAGAGAGAGAGAGAGAGAAAGAGAGAATAATGAGCAATGACGGTTAGCGGAAGGAGAGACGGTTATATAACAAGATGAGGGAGAAATGGCGAGCGCTGATTGGTGGAGAGGCTTTGACGAGGATCTACTACCAGTAGTCATATTTTAAATCTCAACCGTTGGATTAGATTCTTATCGACGGTTGTAAAATAAAAAGTGAAATGAGACTCGGATTGGTAAATACTTGAAGAATTGAGCTCTCGTGGTTTTTTGGTGTGTTTTTCACTTGATTTCTTTTAGGTGTAATTCGAATTTTATTAAATTAATTTTTATGGTAATTTTATAATTATTTAGATTAAGACTTAAACTTTCTAATGAGTATCTATTCAAGTTTTGTAATTACATAAATTAAGAAAAAATATTATTTAAATATAAGTTGGTTTTAATTGACACATAATGAAAATTGTTTTACATTTTTAATATAATTTAATCTAAATTTTTTATTTTATTAATTTTTGGAAGCATGCATGATTCTTCTATTATAACGGAAATTAATAGATTCAAGAATCATAAATTTAAATTATAAAATAAATAATGAATTAAACAGTGATTAAGTTGAACAAATTAATATATATATATATTTGATTTTAAAGTTCAGATGAAATATCATGTCTTATGTTTGATAAATAATAAATTTTTTTTTTTTTGGATAATCGATTCAATCAATTATTTATTATGTTAGCAGAACCAGATTTTTTATGTGCAAATTTTAATTCTCTCGTTTTTATTTAAAATAAAAAATAATAATTTTACTTAAAATTTAACGAATTTACGTATGATTTACATTTTTAACACAATAAACTTATGCATAAAGAGAAGTGTTAGAATATAAATAATTCATCAAGTCATCTCCTATCAATTTAAGCTCCAGGGATAATTAGTTCAATTAATATTCAGAAACTTTATTATTATTTTCCTCAACTTTTATTTATTTTAATTATATACTTTTGTTTTATCAATGTAATACTTTAATGTGTATAATTTAATCATATTTTATTTTATAAACTAATTTTGCATCTATTTTAAATTTATTCAAAATTCATTGTATATAACAAAAATGGCAGTATAATCTCGAAATACGAGCACGACTACATTCATAACCGCACTATAGAATCTCGTAGAGCACAAAGAATCTGGTGATAGTA